ATACTTTGTTGCACAGAATAAGGTTTCGGAAGTAAGAGAGCAAGTTTTGTTGATACGTGAACAGTGTATATTGGAAGTCGCTGAAAAGATTCGTACAGTGTACTAGAGTTGTCATAAACGTATAGTAACCATGTGTATATAGTAATACTAGTTTAACCGAATAGAATATAGGATAGGTGCGGTGCGTAGTGTTGAAAAGAGAGTGAGCTGCGTCGAATGCTTTGGGTGCGGAGGGTAGTAAAAAGAAGAAGGAATGTGTATGTGTGTGTGTGTATGTGTATGTGCGTGTGTGTAAGAATAACGAGTACGAGGCAAGCAGACAAGTTGTAGCACGGGTGTGTAGGGTTCGGGGTTGGTCGTCCGTTTTTAGAGCGGTATGCGGTATATATGGTGTGAGTGTGTACAGGACAACGTGGTGGCGGCGGGTGTGACAAGGGTATATCGACGGCAGTGGAGGGTTTGTGCGTGGAGCGGTGTAGTAAGTAAGGGTTCCGCTACCCGCACTCCTACATACGCACACGTCACCCTCACTATTCGTACCAAAAGACTCAACGAGAGTGTGTATGCTTGTATATCTGTGTGCTTGCGTGCGTGTGTGTACGGTTGGTCCCATATATGTGCACCTCTCTCTCTATATATATATATATATAGTAGAATGTAGTAACAGTATGCCCCGCGCGCGCAAACGACCCCGACCACCGCCGTTGTAGCTTTACTATATCCTCTATAAACCCCCCTTCTACTACACCCCACATCGCTAGAACCACCGCTTCGGGGAACTATCGGACCCGTTTTACTGTAAGGTCGAAGCAAACGAAAAAAAAATACGTGTCCGGAAATGTGTATAAAAAAAATAATACGTGTATATACGAGTCGAGAATGAAAAACGGATAGTGGTAAATAGAAAGAGAGATGCGCTTTAAACTTGGTTCGCTTATAATAAAAATAGGCCAGTCGACTAGTGCGCGGTAGTGTTGGCATCGGTGGAAGGATGGTTATGATCGTAGTAAAAATACCTCTCCTCGTGAACGCCTATATATTGTATGTGTGTATCGTAGTCCTTTCCCTTTGCGTCCTCTCCAACAACACCGTCGTCAACCATTGTTGAGTGAATATAGAGAGAAAGTGAGAGTTCGAAATTATGACCAACACTGTTATAACAACATAGCCAACGCCTCCTCCCAACCCCTATTATCTATATATGGGCCAACAACACTCACGGCACAGGTAGGTAATGGTCATGAGAGTGTTGGCAGGTGTGTGTGCATCATAAATACATGTATATATGTGTGTATGTGTGTGTGTGTGTGTGTGTGTGTGTGTGTGTGTGAGCGCGCGCGTGCGCGCGCAAGTGTAACGCATACTTGGTAGGTAAAAAAAAAAACCGATAATAAATAAACCAAGGTATTTTCTGAAGGGAGTGGAGGGCACGAGCCACGACCATACTATACTATAGATTCTACGATGAGAACACGTGCGAACGAGGGGACGACATATGATCGTTAGTATTAAAGTTTATGTCAATGAGGGCGCGGTAATAAATGAGTGTCAAAAATAGGGAGACAACAAAGGTTTTGCTAATCATTCAATTAATATATTTTTATACCTTCCAAACAAGTTTCAATAAAGTACTAAATGTAAACATAATAAAAACACATATACCATACACACACACACATATATGTATGTATACGGAAAAAGATAACATCGTAATTTTTAACAAAACAGTTATATTAAATTTTAGTCGGTATAGTCGATTAGTATAAAGAACAGAAATATTAGTATGACATACTTAAGTGAATATCAAGAGCTACAAAATTTTACCAAAAGTTTACCAATTTACCAAAAAGTTAAGGAAATGATAAATTATCATATTATGGGTGCAATCAACAATTTTGGTAGTAAGAATCATATTCTAATAATTAGGTAAAACCAAGATTTTTTTCAATGTATATATAAAATAGTATGCATCTGAATATTATTATGTACTCGAAAATCATATTAATTTATCATAGTTTTATCTTAGAGAGGTTTTTATTGACTATAAAAACGTTTCCGTTTCCGGCCTGGTGAGGTTTCCGTCTTGACGGGATACAATTATATGTATTTGAAAAAAATGACTAAAAATTTTTTCCCTATTACCGGAGTTTCTGTTTTACCGAAGTTCCGTCTGATCGAGATTTTACTGTACACACAAAACGTTATAATGAAATTACAAAACTAATTATATCTTATAATTACATTTTTATTAATCACACATTTTTTCCGAGAACAATTTGTCTTGAAAATTTAAAAACCTTTAAGTGTTGTATTCCAAATATATTATATAATTATTTTATTTATTTATTTTTTTGATTTAAATATGAAAATACACTTAAATCACAACTTAACTTCTCTATATTATATTTAAAACTTTAAAATACAAACAAATATTTCAATAATTAACTGAAACAGCAAGATAATTTTAATATATTGATAAATTATTAAAAAAAAATACAGTATTCGATAAAGTGTATAGATCAGATTACTCAGTTGTTATAAAAAGTATGGTCATAAGTTTACAAAATACCATAGAATTTCGAGTTTATTTAATAATTTTCATCAAAAATAATGATGTTTTGTGAACGGTATACCGTATATATCATATACCGCAGTATTACAGTATAGTTGGTGGGTATTTTAACGAGTTTGGAATTATATATTGGGTTTTCGTTTGTTCTGAAGTACTTTGAACTGGACTGTGCACGTGCCGTGATAAGCCGGTCAAATGCAGCTGCTGTCAGTGTACACAAAGCATATAGATGCTAGGTGGTTTTAGTGAGTTAGGTGTACATGTCCGGAAAAGACGGCCGAAATAAGAAAACGTACTATGGTAGTAACCGAATGTCGGTTTGATGAGAAGAGGGTAGTAAATAGTGGTGGCGGTGATAGTGGTAGTGGGGTATCAGGGTACCAGATTAGTCCGGGTGGGTATATGGTTTTCGTAGCTCGTCGACCAAGGTTAGGGCTTGGCAGATGGGTTGGTGGAGGTGAAAGGGCAACGTAGTGTCGGTCGTAGTGTGCGGAGAAAGGAGGTTTGTGCCCGTGTCAAAGTAAATGGTAGAGAAGCAGTGGTGGTAGTGGTAGTGGGTAGCCGTCGAGTAGTAGAATAGTGGTTGAAGGGAGAGAGAGGATTGATGGGACCAAACGTGTGTGCCTCCAACTATTACTACACATAGTATTCGGACGAAGGGGTGATAGGGGAAGACATACACATACATACACACATATCTACTTTCTCTAGGATGTATATGTGCTTATGTGTGATGATGGAAGGAAAGAGGTAGAGAGTAAGTTATGAGTGAGAGTAGTGCGGTAAAGAGAGGTTTTGCCTCGGGGGTTGTAGATGGCTGCCACCGAGCAGTCATGGGTGTGCGGTGTATACGAGAGTGGAGGTGTGTGATGGCTACGCGAAGAGACTACACACGCACACACAATGTATATACTAATATATATATATATATAGTGAAAATATATATATGTATTTATAGTGAATATATATATATAGGTCGGTGGATAAGGCCTGGCTTGGTTGATAGGAGGGTAGTGGTAGTGCGAAAGAGGAGCACACACAACGTCAGGCTGGGTGGTGTTACAGTCGGTGGGGCTTTTGTCGGTGGCGAGCGGAGAGGAAGGGTACAAACGAAATAAGAGGAACACGGCGGCGTCGTTGGAAAGGACTGTGTCGGGGGTAGGGAGAGAGGAGACTAAAACCCCAAAGCGACGCGAGGAGGACTTTGTCGGGTCCGCCGCCGATTTCGTATACGTAGTGAGAGGGAAAAGCGGACAAGAACGGCAGGATAGAAATGCGGCGGGTGGTAAGGGTAGAGAATCCTGATCGTGACCGACTACGGAGAAGGCGGTGAAGAGAAACGCTCTTGCGTGTATATATATATATATATATAAGTGTGTGTGTGTATACGCACATATATAGTTGGTAGGTCGACGAAGGGAGGTTTTTGGTGAAACGACTGCGGTGCGTGTAGCAGAGAGTAGTGGTGGTGGTACCGAATACCCACCGTCCGCTTGTTAGCTGAGGGCGGTGTACCCCCATAGCACTCGGCCCGTGCGCCGCGTCACGCCGCCGTCAAAGTCCCACCGCTCCACCACTGTATACTCACTCAGGGTATACTACTACGCACACTACTACTCTTCTACCCTACCGGTGGCAACTACCAACGTGCCTACCGTAGGCGTCTCATACCCGCCATCGTCCCTGCCGTCGGCTCTTTTTTCCCTTGGTTTTTTTCTTCTTCCTTCCGGCCCAAATCCCCAAATCCCTACTACCCTCCGCCAACCCTACTATATACACACCCTTCCACTACTACTGCCACCAACATACTAATGCGCTCTGGTGCTGCTGTTACTCCCACCCTCTACTCTCTTAGTCCTCATCAGTCGTAATATCCTCAAAGCTCCATCGGCTCTCGGCCGTGTAGGCGACACACACACACACACACACACACACACACACACAAATATATACAAATACAAACACATATACGCACTATACACACTCACTCGCACGTGCGCGGGGGTCGCAACCGGCTCTGCTGTTGCTACGATCGCCCGTCGTAATAACAGTGGTAGTAGTAGTAGTAGTAGTACGAGTAGTAGTAGTAGACGCATTCCCTTTATCCTTACTCGGTCGACCTATCGTCCGTCATCCATCTTCCTCAGTCCTCTACTTTCTCTACTTTCTTTTTCATTTCCTCTCTCTCTACACCAACAGGCATATAACGTAAAAGCGCACACTACTCTCTTCATCCCAAGTATAGAACTGATTTAGCCCCGGCCAATTCGAAGTAGCGATGGCAAATAACGCATATTATATTGTCTAGTTATAAAATTAAAAAATCTTTTTTATGTATGTCATTAAATATAAATATAACCAAACATCTCTACCTACAATTTTGAAAGGGTTATAAATAAAATATACTTAAGTACTAATATCGACTTACTTGATTTTCGTCCAATTCGTTAGCTTCAGATCCTTTGTTTTCGGTGATTTCCTCTTGTGTTTCCAATAATGTCGTCGATGCCTGTTCCGTCACTACATCCACCACTACAACTTCCGCTTTTATCGTTCGTCCACCTGCACCGGTACAGCAACTTACGGTAGCTACCGTTGATGTCGTCGCCATTGCCGCCACTTTATCGTAGCAATTGTCATCGTTATTGTTATTTCTACGGTCCACCGTTCTATCCTCGAGCTTTCTTTTTAACTTTGCCGGTTTCGGACCATCGTTTCCTTTATTCGTTTCTAAATCTCCAACCCGTTTTCCTAAGAACATCTCCCGTGCATGTCTATTGTCAACAACTATTTCTTTATCAATATCATTGCGACGGTGACTATCTCGGGCGACCTCATCGTCATTGTCATCACGGTCACTTGTCGACGTGTTATCGTCTTCTTGACGCCCACCGCAACGATTAAAACTCGGCCGGTTCAAACGTTTCGGTTTGACGCGCCGACGGCAAACGCGCCTACGCTTGTAAAAAAAATCTTCTCTCTCCAACAACGGGGACGACGACGATCGGACCGTCGTGTTCGGCGCGGGTGAAATCACCATCAACGGTGACGATGACAAGTCTAACGGTTGCATATTACTCGCACCAGCACTTGAACCGCTGCTGTTTCTACTACTACAACTCGCACTCAGTCTGATCCTGTTGCTGCACATTTCTTCCTTAGACCACCAACCACCACTCGATCTACTTACACCGCTACGGTCCGACCGGGACGACGATGACGACATTATCAACGTGCAGCTGCTATTAGTGCTGTTTTTCAAAGTGCTACTGCCCGTGCTCGTGTCACCGGACAAGGCAGTGGTGGAGGCGGGAGAGGCGGCGGCGACGGCTAGGACTTGGTACGGCTCTCGAACGTCACGTTTCAGCGGTACCGCGCGTTTGCGCCGGTTACGGCCGGCGTTGGCCGGAACCGACACCAAAGCCGTTGCACCCGTTTGCCCATCGTTATCCGTGATGTTCTCCTTGTCCGCTCCCGCGGCCCCGGTGCCGAACCCGTCCGCCGTGATGGTCTCGCCGGCACAGCGGTTTTCTGTTCCGCATTTCACCGGAGTGGAACAGGCGAATGACGACGACGACGACCACCGCTCGTCGTGCTCGTCGCGGCCAAAACCGCCGGCAGTGATCGGAGCCGGCGGTTGCGGCAACCGTTGTTGACCGTCCACGGACGCGCAGACGGCTGTTGACGCGGCGCTGTTGGTGCTGCACTGAGGGCACCCCATGAGGAACGCGGTGACCGCCTCTCTGGGTAGGAACACGTACGTCTCCATAATCTGCACGTTTCGTGGATGTTAAAATTCAATCGACTAAATTATCGACATGACGCGCACTGTCGGACAACCTAACCTACGCACTGTCAGACAAAACCGAACACTTACGCGTAGTCTCGCGTGCTTGGCCGTGCGCTGTCCGCATAGCATACCGTTACCGTCGTAACGTACGTGTACTCACCATGCGATGCGTGCGCTTCTGCCCCGAATGTCTCGCTGAAACTCCGCCACCGCTGCAGTGCACCCGGTATATTATGTCGAAGAATTCGTCGACCACGGCCACTTTCTTGTAGCAGTGCTGCGACCCGCCGAACGCCGCCGAACCACCGTTCTTGGTGTCCACCACGTACAAGCTGTTCCCGTCGTCCACTTGCCCGGCGCCCGACGCTGGTCTGCCCATCCGAAACCCCTTGGCCCGCACCCAGAAACGGAATTTGGAATTGTCGGCGGCCCGTCTCAGTTCACCGCGGACCGCTCTCACTATCCGCTCGTACTTGGCCCGGCCGACTATCTTGGCCCTGCAGCCCGGCCCGTCGTACTGCTTCCGGATCCACTCGGCGTACCATCGTCTGTGCTGCTCTTTGTACCGTTTATTTTCCACTTCAGTCATCGCCGCCATCGCCGCAGTCGACTAGACAGCTGAGCCAAAGGAAAAAATAACGTTAGCATTAAAATCGAAAACCGAAATACCAATAGCTATCGAAACAGCGGTGGTAAAAAATGTTAAACACTAAAAATAAATTACGATAACTATATACTGTACGAAAAATAACTACGAATACGATTACGAATAGCTCATGAAATAATAATAATTAGCAAGTAATATAATGGTTTATATCAAATCTGCTCTGTGTATTTGCGAATGTGTGTGTGTGATTTCCGTAAATAGTACAACAGCGTGTAGGGTCGGTGCACTATAAAAGTTATTGTGGTGTGATTATTATACGACGAAAAGCCAACGGCAGCTACACAACGGTGATTATCGGCGGTAAAATCGAGTTGTCGTAGTTATCCGCTCTTCGTCCACCTGAAACACAAAAATCACGATTAAAAAAAAAAAAAAAATCAACAAGTCGATGCAACGAAATGTATCGCGTGATACACGGTTAACGTGTACGACACAACAACAGTCGGTAAGACTTGAGTATATAATGTATTTGTCAAACGCTGAAGAGCGCAATATGTGCGCAGGAAGTGGCAACGATTTGTGCAAACTAAACCGCGAGCGAAGACACAATATACGGTGCGCACGAAACGTTGCGAATCGCGCGGCGAAAGACGACGCGCGGTCACAGCGAACGTAACGGGACGAATGAATACAGAAGAACGTCAGAAAATCGTCGAAATATTCAACAGATAGGTGCGCGAGTTAATAATAATAATAATAATAATAATTTCACAGTCTCGGCTATAGTCACTGTGGTTTACGATCGGCGGCGGCGGCCGTGCCAAAATAATTCAAACGGCCTCCGGGCAACGGGTTCGGGCAAAATCGTAAGCAGTGGCGAAGCGAAGTGTCCGGTCCGACGACTAGACTGAACGGCTGGATGAAGCCGAGATCTTGATCCGCGTCCCGAAACCGGTGGACGCCCCCACTCCGCGCGCACGGGAAAACCGTAACGAAAGGCTGCGAGCCAACCAACGCGCGTGAGATG